AGGGGAAGCCCCCAGGACAGGCGAGGGGACGCGCGCAGGGGAACAGCTGGCACTGATACCGACCCACTTTACCTTTGTCGAACGGGTTTTGCTAAAGACGTTCCAGAACCTCAGGGTTTCATCCCCAGCACCAGTGACTATGGCCTCTCCATCAGGGGACATGGCCTGCAGAAGGAGACAGACCCCCACTGTCTCTACGCCCCGCAGGCAGTGCTTCGCGGACAGAACCGCGGAACCAGGCGTGGCACCGCCGGACAGAGCCGCGGACGGAGCGCTCTCGGGAAAACCCCAGGCGGCCTCCCTCCCGCCCGCCATGAAGCACAAGACGTCTTCTTCCGAAAAGAAAAAAGAAATCGAGCGGTCTGCAAGAGAGGGGGCCTTTCTGCAAGACCTGACAGATGGTGGTCTGGTGAAACGCTCAGCGATCACGTGAGTGCCGGGACCCAGATCCGCAGAGATTTCTTTCCGCGTGTGTCCCAGAGACACCCGGCTGAAGGGAGGGACGGAGGGCAGAGGCGCAGCACAGCAGGTTCCCGCCGCCGGTACCACGTGACCTTGGCGGACAGGAGCCCACCCTGCTGTGCAGTCCTGGAGGCCCCCCAGGCCGTGGAACCCCGACACAGGGCCGCACGCTGCCTCTCGGGGCGCAGGGCAGTGGTTTCTGGGCGGCCACAGCACGTCTCCCAGAACCCGGGGGCTGGGGGTCGGGGTGGGGGGGGCAGACTCACCAGGTACAGGACCCTGTACGAGTGCCCGGTCAGCTTGGCCACCTGGGTCAGGGACGGGTACTTCCACACCAGGATCTGGTTCTGCGAGTAGCCGTGCGTGCTCACCTGGGGGGCGGAGAGGGTGCTGTCGGAACCCGGGCCCCCCGCTTCCAAGGCCCGGGGCCCGGACGCAAGGACATCTGAGCCGGCACCTCAGACTCGCCAAGCAAGCGACGTACAGAGACCACAGGTGACGAGGTAGAGAGAGCACGGTCACAGCCCCTGCTCCCCGCACTCTGGTCGGTGACTGGACAGAGTGGGACACACGGCACCTGACAGCCCCGGGAGCCTCTCTGGCGGGCACTGGGTATGGGGGTGTGGGCGTCCGGGTCAAGGACGGGCACATCCAGGCACCTCTGGTCTGCACGACGAGGGTGGCAGGGGCCTGGCTGAACTCAGGACCCCATGGGACGCCTCAGCGGGGCCAGGGCTCCTGCCTCCCCCGCCTCCTGCCCGCACCCCCAGGCTCCTCTGCCCCTGGCTCTTCGCGGAGAGGCTCCGAAGGCCGTGTAGCGACGAGGAGGGAGGCGCACGCGTGTGTCCCCGCAGGCCCTCCCTGGCCGGCCCCGCACTCACCAGCTCGTTGGCGTGCTTGGACCAGGCGAGGTTGCACACCTGGGAGCCCGTGTCGATGCACTGCAGTGGCTGCCCCGTGAGCGTGTTCCAGAAGCGGATGCAGCGATCAGCCGTGCCACCGCCAGACGCCAGCAGCCCGTGCTGGTGCGGGGACCAGGCGATGGCCTTCACGGCCGCCAGGTGCTCCGTGTACTGCTGCACGGGGCTCAGGCTCGAGTGGTTCCAGACCAGCAGCTGCGGGGGCAGTGGCTGTGAGGCCCCGGAGGCCACCACAGTCCGCCCCCGGGGGAAGAACCTGCACGGCCCTCACTCCGTGGGGAGGCCAGGGCTGCGAGGGGCCCGCGGTGCCTACCTTGTTGTCGTTGCCCCCCGAGGCGAGGAGCTGGTGGTCCGTGGACCACTTGAGCCCACACACCTCCTGCCGGTGGCCCTGCAGCCGCCGCTCTGACTGCAGGGGCGGGGTCCGGATGTCCCTCTGCAGGATCATGCGGTCCCGGCTCCCGGACGAGAGCTGGTCAGCGTTCCAGGCCAGCGCCCCTGGAGGCCAGGCAGAGGGCAAGGGAGGCTGAGGCCTCGCCCCCGGGAATCACACCTGCCCCCTGGGAAGCGGGCGGCTTCTCACCAACGCGTGCCGTGTGGCCTTCCAGCATGGACAGCTTCTTTCCTGCAGCTGCGTCCCAGATCTGCACAAAGCCCTTGTGCGTGCCAACGGCCACCAGGTTCCCCTAGGACCGAGCACACGGGGGAGGGAGTGGGCATCAGGCCCAGGCATGGGGACCTCTCCCTCTGCCTCCTCACCGCAGGGCGTTGGGGCCGTTTCTTTACAGGTTTCTTTGAACCAAAAGGACACCCCTCCTTGGAACTTTCTGGGGGAACGGTCACACAAGTGCACCGGTTTGTCAAAATCCAGTAGACACTCAGGCTAAACACCTGTGCGTTTCTATCTGTGGCTGCCACGCCAGCTGTGGGGGCGGGGAGAGGCGTGCAGGGGACCAAGTCTGACCCAGAGTCACCATAACCATCTTTACAGGCTGGGGACAGGCAGGGGTGCAGGTGGAGATTAGACTCCTAAAGATTAGACAAGTGACCTCCAGGCCGGCTGCTGGCCCCTCTGGGTCCCCAAAGCCCCCTCAACATCGGGGAGGGCCCCTGCCAGCAAGACTGGGTCATATATTCCTGACTCTGCCCGGCTAGGGGATGGGGCCCACGTACTGACCCGTTC